GTGGTAAAGCCCACACTGGGGCAATCCGTGGAGAAGGATTGCTTCCTGTGGGCTGGACTCACGCTGGAGAAGTTTGTGGATTTTTTCTTCATGAGTAGGGGATCCACTGGAGCAGGGGAAAAGGGTGTAAGGACTCCTCCTCCTTTAAGAAAGAAGCAGCAGTAACAGCACGGAATGAACTGACCTGCACTCCCCCAGTCCCTGCCCCCTGCGCCACTGGGAGGAGGAGGTAGAGCCGGGAGGAAAAGAAAAAGGAGAGAGGAGGCGGGAAGGAAGGTGTCGGTTTTAAGATCTGGCTTTGTTTCTTTTTATCCTCTCAAGTAACCGGTTTTGTTTCCCTTTGTCCTTTTAAGCAACCATTAATAACCTGTTTTGCTTTAAGAAAGTCAAGTCTGTTTTGCCCAGGACCATGGTTGGTGGGTGCTCCCTCTATTCTTGTCTCAACCCTCAGTCCCTTTATTATATTTTTCTCCTCTCCACTTTACTGGAGAAGGAGCGACTGTGTGAGTTTTAGTTGCTGGATTGGCCTAAAACCACAACAGGGCTCTTCACTCCATTTCACTGCTGGGACTGGAGCATGTTCAGATTGGCAGATGGTGATGATCTTGCCTTTGTCCAGGACTGCTGTCCTTGATGATGGCATTCAGGAGTTCTTTTCGTGGCCATTAACTGGTCATTCCCTGCCTCTGGAATGTTTCCTTGTCACTCATCTCCTGCTTTTTTGTCAAGTAGATATGATTATCTTGATAGTTATTATATGGCTAGTAAGTCTTCTGTCTCCATTTACCTCAAAACTTTGATTTCTATGAGAAAGGTAGATTTGATAAAGCACCTTTTGCTTTGTCAGATGAAAATATGCACAAATCTGAATCATGCTGTGCCATTATCTGCTGGATTGTTTGTCCGTGGTTAACAAGACCATTCAACATGCAGGGTTCGTCATGTTTATACAAGATTGGAGACCAAATTTTATGCCCTTTAAAAAGTGAAGGGGAAGGAATCGTAGGACTCAGTGATAACATAGATGCCCTGTTACCTGCTTTGAACGTGTGCTATTTTACTGGGAGTCTCCTTTGGATCTGTTACACTGCCCAGGTGTCCTATTACAATGTGCTCTGGTTTTGCATAGAATTGACCTGTATTATTTACGAGTTGTCTCTAACTGATCATTCCAGACTTCTCTTCAGATCAGAGGAGATCATTCCCAAGGCATTGTCACGCCTCTCATGTTTCTCTAAGAGGGCAGAGGCTGCCCTTTACAGTGGTATAGAGGCAGAATTACGCTTGGCTTCCTTCCGTTATGGATGTCACTGGGCTAGACTATCCTAATGCTGATTCTTCTGCTGAGTTCACTTTCTGGTCAGGGTAACTGCTTTTAGTGAACCGTTGTTGCAGATGACTGTTGTTTGCCAGACACTGGCACGTGTTGTTGGCTGGCCCTTTCCCACAGGTTTGTGTTCTGACCGGGCACCGAAGCTGACCATTCTGCCTGCAAGGTTTGAGCGCTCGTATTTGGACCTCTCATTAGCAAGACCTTTCATTAGCAAGAACTCATTTTGCCTACTCACACGCAAAACCAAGAAAAGAGCTGCTTCTTTAGTCTGCCTAAAGTGCTTCTCTCATCTCTGTGACTCTTCAAGAGTTGCAAATAAAAAGAAAACAAAGCAAAGTCATCACAAATTTTGTGCAAGATTTTTGTCTTTGGATATAAAATCGAGTAAATGTAATAGTTGTACAAAAGCACTTGAGCACTAAGGAGCAGACATGGGTGCACATTGGTGTTGGCTGTGGGTAATGGAGATAAATAAATTAGTCAATATATGATACCTTTGATTTAAAGCAGGAGTTGCCATCCTGAATATCATGGCTGCCTGGCTCTTCCCATGTTGCCAAATAATAAGAGAATCAAGATTTGATGGAAAGGAGAGAATCCTCTCTCTTCCTTCTCACTGCTGGCAGCCTCAGTTATAAAGAGTGCTGGATTGAAGGGATTTCTCAATCAGAGCTAATTACTCAAAATTATTTCAAAGCCATATGCCTATGAAAAGAACTCCTAATAGGGGCTTTTTTTCAGTAGCATTTACACCAAGGATGTTTTTTTCTAATATTTTATTTCCTGTTGTTGACAGAATATATTGATGGTATTGCCTCCTACCTTAAGGAGCTGGCATGTGATGGAGTGTATCAGCTCTAAATCCATGCTGAAATTCTCCTCCTACCTGTTTCCCTCAGTCTCTCCCTCGTATTGTGTTGGTATCACTGGAAGTTGAAGATGTTCATTTCCTGTCAGGGAAATGAACGCAGGCTTAAGCCTAGCGTTCATCAGGAATGGGCATTTGGGATACGGGCTACAGTATTGCAACGATTGGATCTTGGATATGTGTGTTCTCCTGCCTGAGACAGGGAAAAAAAAATGAAATCAATTAAAATACAATAGATTGGATGCTATGCTGGATAAAGAACAAGTTTTGGAGTGGGAAAGCTGTTGTGGATAATTTAACTCACACTTTGATCCTCTCTTTACAGCCACAGGGACTTAAAACCAGAAAACCTGCTGCTGGATGAAAAGAACAACATCCGGATAGCAGACTTTGGGATGGCATCGCTGCAGGTTGGGGACAGCTTGTTAGAAACCAGTTGTGGGTGAGTGTCTCAGAACTTACTGCAAAAATCAGTGATAGATTCCAGTCATAAGAGTTGTCTGTAGTAAGTGTTTCAATAAAGACCTGCAGGCTTACACTGTGCATTGTTACTTCCCAGCAAGACAGTAAATTGATGTGATGCATGTAGTGTATAAGATAGCTATAAGAAGGGTTTTTAAGTGCTTTACAGTGAAAAGCAGGACTCTGTAGGTGTCCCATATGGATATAAAAATCAAGGCTTTCAGGTTTGGATTCATCTGCACACTGGTGCGTGTTTACTTTCACTGAGTATATTATTTTGGGAAACAGAAAGCAGTAGTGTTGGCTGTTTTAAGAAGAGGCTTTAAAAATATTAGGAGGTGAAAAAAGAAACGAATCTAGGGGTTCTGAAATGGAATTTGCATGTCCTGACCGGACTGCCTGCTTGCAGCTCTTCCTGTTCGTGATCCACACTGCTTCATTTCAGCTTGAAGGATTGACAAGGAGGCAGCAGGGTCCTTTGCAGTTACAAGCAGGGCATGAATGTAGATACAAAAGAGGCTGCTTGGAGGAATATTGCAAAGGCAATCTACGAACATTTCTATGGAAATTCAGTGGCCAGCAAGAGCTCTCTAGGAATTTCCAAGGGAGCCAGCAATAAGCCCAACAGCTGAGCAGAGCCCTGGTGCCTGGCCGAGGATGAGATGTCCTCTCTGGGGGCAATACCCTCTCGTCACCATCGCCTCTTAGGGACACCACTGGACCATGGTCCCCTCACCCCTCCATAGCTATGGCTTGACACCAGGTCAACTGTGCAGGGGTCTGCTGCAGTGAGCTGTGGCAAGGGCAGCAGCTGCATCGAGCCTGGCCACCGCTACACCAGCTTTTAGCTGTGTCTGAATTTGTTACAACAGTGAGCTCAGCAACTGGAGTTGCAGACAGTAGTAGCAGATTTCCACCTCCTCCCATACAGACCTACTCTTCCTGGCCTTTGGTACTGTGAATCTGATGACTCCAGCCCAGCCCTGCCCTCAGCTGGTTGCAGCCCATGTTTTTTCAGTCTGTGCTCTGAGCCAAGGCCGTTCAGGGTAGACGTGGAGCTGTCATGGTTCCCTGTACAGGCCAGCCACTGCCTCTCAATCGTGAGCGGTACAGCTCTGCTTTTCAAGTCATGAATAATGAATAGCAAAATTATTTGAAGTTCATGATGTGATTGAATGCTGGTTGATGAGTACACTGAGACCCACCCGTTCCTTCCTGTCCATGTCAAGTCAAGATTTGACCTCTTACCAGCACGGATGAAAAGCAAGGAGCTATGAGTCTGCACATCTGTTGCTTGCAGCTGCTTTCAAACCTCCCCCCTAGATTAGGAAATGAAGTCCTCTCTGCAGTTGCCACAAAGCCTCTATACTCTTTAGATACAATTTTCCCCCTTCAAAGAAGGGCAACTAAACTGGTCAAGGGGCTGGAAAATAAAACTTAGGAGGAGCGGCTGAGGGAGTTGGGGCTGTTTAGCCTGGAGAAGAGGAGGCTGAGGGGAGACCTGATTACAGCCTACAAATACTTGAGAAGGGATGGTGGGGAGGTGAGTGAAGGGCTCTTTACATTAGTGATGGGTGATAGAACAAGAAGAAATGGGTATAAGCTTAGTCAGGGGAGCTTCAGGTTGGATGTTAGAAAGTATTTCTTCTCTGAAAGGGTTGTCAGCCACTGGAATAGGCTGCCCAGGGAGGTGGTTGAGTCCCCATCCCTGGATGTGTTGAAGAATAGGGAGGATGATCTACTTAGGGATATGGTTTAATGGGGATTAGGGACGGTTGGACTCGATGATCTCTAAGGTCTTTTCCAACCTAGAAATCTATGAAATCTATGAAAAAAACAAGTGTAAAAACCAACCCGGTCTCACATTGCCCTATGCAATTTGTCAAACTCCTTGAGAACCTCTTGGGAAGGTCCATGTCTTTTTTAGCACCAGGCTTGTCATCCAGGTCTAGAGTCTCAAAAGGAGACTTCTTTTCTATAAGCTGTGCTGGAATTCAAACTTCCATGCGTCGAGCAGAGCCAGCCCCCACATGGCAGCCTTGAAACGCACTAATAAAGAAATCAATGGAACGGAAGAGACGTGCCTGTAATAAACAGAACACAGCAGCAACGGTATGATCTCCTGCCTTGCAGATGCATTTTAAGTGTGGTGCCAATCACTAGACCTCTGTGTGAGCTATTACACCACTTCATTAGTTCTCCTGGCATGGAGCCCAGCATGGCTGATACTGGTGTCTTGTGATCTCTCTGGTTTAGGGAGTGACGGGAGGAAGGAAGGAAGGAATATATAACAGTATGCCACACTGTTCACAAAGAAAGGCAATCCGGTTATGACTCCCTTTCCCTTGAAGCACACACAGTAACCAACCTCAGAGCTTTTCAAGGCAACGATTTTACCTACCCTTGCAGTTGGTACTTTCAGCCGGCATGAAAAGGAACAAAACAGAGTGAATCATGGCTGAGATACTGAGCTTTAATGAGATGCTCCTCCGTGCACCCAGAAGTTAATTTCCAGAATGGTTTTATCTGTGCTGTGAACACTGATAATGAGATGAAACTCTAACATTTCCGTTGACAGTCACGCAAGGAGTCTCCAGGTATTTCTGTCAGTCAAAAGTGGGAGGATCAGATGGGGTTAAGCCACGTGATGCAGCGAACTTTGTCAGTACAGCAAAGTGGTTAGAGTGCAATCAGAAATTCTTTGCTGTCACAAGTGAACTGCTAAATTTAATCCAAAGTTTGCGTAGGCTTTAGGTCACCACAGAGCCTTGACTGGTCTCACGAAGATAATCACGTAGCTTGAAGTATGCTGTATTGCATACCTCAGTCAGTGTTTTCTGGGGGCTACGCCTGAGATCTGCAGAGTAGCACTAATGGCCATATGGAGAAAACAATGAAAGTTCAATTCAGTTGTGTTTGTGTAGGAGAGAGAGGTAAGAATGGACTTGCTGTTTCATTCATGTAATTTGTCACTGGTAGACTGCACATTGGGTCTTGATCGTAACGAACCCCCATTACTGGAAGGCTATATTGTGCATATCCTGCATATGCAGACCACAGAGGAATAGGCTGTAGTTTTAAACATGTGTCTTTAGTCCGTTGAGGGGAAGAGAAGCTGTGTGTAGGGTCTGCGAGAATAATTGTGCTTACTGCAGAAATTGCACAGCAAGGCAGCCTCATGGAGAGATGGTCCTTGAAATGTCAAAGTAACACAGTGAGTCTCTGCATTCCTCCAGGAGCAGGGGAGGTCTGTGAGCAAACAATGGACAAGGAGGTGGAAGATGTGGTAGGATGCTGCTTCTGTCATTTTAGATCTCTTCGGCTCTTCCTCCTCTTTACCCATCCAGGCAACGGCATGCAGAGATACTCCCCTGTCCCTTTTCACAGCAATTCTTCACAGCATGCTGCCTTGCAGTGTTTCAGAATGGTAGATATTGCCCAATCCATCCTGAATTGTCACTAGGCAAGAAGAGTGAGTACCTTACTGTTAAACCTCTGGACTGCAACCCAGGTGATCTGAGCTTGATTTCTGTCACTGCTGAAGGCATTCAGGGTGGTCTTGGACAAGATTCATTGCCTTTCTCTGCTTCAGTTCTCCATCTTAACAAGCATTGCAGTGCCCAAGTTGCTCTGAACATAAATTGCATTCATTTCTGAAGGAGTCTTGGAAAAGTAGGAAGGGCTGGGGCATTCCCTGGACCTTGTTCCCTTTTCTTGAACTAAGAGGGCTTGTGGCTAAAATGAAGGATTGAAAGCGGATACTGTTGAGTTGCAATTCTTGGGAGTTTGGAAAGATCTTCCTAATTCCCCATTGTTCCTTACAGAGACCTGGCAAAGTAAATTTTTGCTGTCTCTTCACTTCTCTCCGTTTCACTCATCACAGCTTTGAAACACTGAATCCTCCTGGATGGAGGTTGCTGCAAGTGCAAGTTTTCTAGTGGCAGTTTGAGTAAATTTTTTGAGAGAATGCAAACAAATATTCAAGTTTCTCTTTGCAGTTGAGGATACTAGAAATTTTCCTTTTTGACAGGAAAAAACACTTAATTTAGATTAGACTTAAATAGTGGAAATGTTTCAGCCCATACACGACATGCCTGTGCACACAAACATGAAACCAGTCTGAGGCAGATGAAAAAGGAAAATTGTTTGTAAGTTGTTAAGTCGATGGTAAGTCATAAACAGCTTAAAATGAGGATTATAAAGGGAAATACCAGACGACCTTATTAATAACCATTAATACCAGCCTCACCTGTAATACATTCCAAGGTATGTTAAAATAGCTTTAAGTCTGCAAAATCAAGCACTGAGAATTTAAGATACGCTTTTCTTCAGGTTGCCAGTGTAACATTAACTTAGCCTATGCACATTAGGATATGGCCATTAATTACAAGCTTGTACAGTTTTCTTCCAGCAAATCTTTGCCTCATTTGGTGTTTGGATGGTGTGGTTTTTTGAATAAACAGCTATTTAATGTTCGATTTTTCTTCATCATTCATTTTATGGATCCATTCATAATTTCTGCTCACTGCATTCAAGCCTTGCCGTGAATGCTAGGTGGGATTTTCATCGTAGCATCTTATGTTTACAAATATTAATTATTCTGTTTTCGTATTATGTTTGCCACATTTATCTGGTTATCTCCATTTAGATGAGGACACGCGATTCTGCAAAATGAAACTCAAAATTGTCAACCAGTTTGGAGTGTGCAGTTGGATACTCAGGGGCCTAATATCTCAGAATACTAAGTGCTAGATAACAGTCCTTTCCTTGGAGAGCAGAGTGCCTACCAACTGCAGCTGCTACTCCACGTGCTTATAAATACTGTAAATCAAACTTGGGACGTGTCACACTGTGATTTTGAAAACTGGGGAACCTGCGACTCACAATTACCTGTGAACGTCTCCGTTTAAGGCACCTGTTTATTTTCTTTCACAGAAGGATTCCGTGGCAGGTGCAGAGACAGAGAGTTTGATTCCCTGG